CTGGATTTCTTGCGGAAAAAGATGCAGTTCTTATGGAGAAACTTGTATTTGTTTAGGAGAAAACGTGAAGTTCTTGTAGAGAAACATGGACTTTTACTGGAAAAAAGATGAGATTAGAGTGGAGAGATATGCAGTACAATTGGACAAAGCACATTCTTTTCGAGAAAGTTGGATTTCTTGAGGAAAAAACATGGACTTATTATGGAGAAAGATGGATTTCTACGGGAAAAAGATGAAGTTATTGTGGAGAGATATGCATTTGTAATATAGAAAACATGACATTCTTATGCAGCAACTTGGACTCCTTTAGGAAAATGAATGACGTTATTGTGGAGAAACATGGATTTCTTCTGGAAAAGTGATGGAGTTCTTTTGTAGAAACTAGCATCTCATCACGAAAAAGATGAAGTTCTTGTGGAAAGACATGGATCAGGAAAAGTTATTGTGGAGCGATATGCACTTGAAATGAACAAAATGTGAAATTCTTCTTCATGATGTTCGTCGGGTGAAACCTCGATTTCTTCTCGAAAAAGATGGAGTGGTTGTGGAGAAACATGGAGTTCTTGAGAAGAACGGATCAAGTTTTTGTGACTTGGCGATGGAGAGAGACTCTTTAACCAATAAGCGATATTCCACTGTGTCTTGATTCATTAATCGCCGTCCGTTTAGGGGATTTTTCGTCTAAAAAAACTTTTTTCCGAAATGGATTTTTCATTTTATAATATCATTTAAATTATTAAATGTAAGGCTTTCGAAAGAAGATTTTTTATGTATATATATCATGCAGTTATAGATTTGTATTTCAAAACGATTTTCAGAAGAAACAATAATATGTTTCTCTTTCTCTTTTCTTCGTTCTTTTATTTCTCTCTCGTTTTTTGGTCTCGAAACAGATCTTGACTATTATTTTAATTTTTTATTCTCTCTCTACATCATCGTACAACCTGGTTGTTGAGAAAATTTTATATCGTAGATACAGTAGAGTCGTGGCTACATTTTAGTAAAAAGAAAAATTTTCACCTGTCTTAGATCTGGAGCACAGTCATGACTGTGGCTCTACAGTACTCCGCAAAAGTAGTGGGCCTCCTGTAACTCCAGAACCATGATAGCTACGGACTTCTAATTTTGTATAGTAATAGCTTTTACCGAATGCTGATCACCCACCAAGTATGGACCTCTTTTACTATATGGTTCGTGAGATATATGCGATTTATATCGTTTTCGTAAAATATTAAAAAAGCTCCAGACTTGTAAAAACTTTTCCTTTTTACTAAAATGTAACCACGACTCTACTGTATCTACGATATAAAATTTTGTGAGTTGATTCCTCTCCCGATTCCTCCCGGCTCCTCTCCTACTGTTTTTATATCCGGCTCCGGCACCAAAAAAAATGTTCATCTTTCCTTGTTGGAAAAATACAAAACAATAATACAAACGAAAACAAACGAATAGCAAACGAAAGATGTCTAATGTAGAAGATCAGAGTTGCACTTGAGAAATGTTCATTTCACCAACATTTCTTTTGTAGGACTTCCTCTGTGTGGTCGCATTAGGAAACCGCTGATAGAAAAAATACACGTTCAACAGGCGCTGATGTTGCAGGCACATACAAAAGTCGAAGTGCAATCGTATTCAGATATGGATAGTCTTTTCACTTCTCTTTTTTTGAAGCAAAATTAATAACATATTTGAGATTAGCAAACAAAACTGCGTAAAATAGCATACTTAACATTTGGTTTTCGAACAAAAAAAGGTGACTATGACTTTCGTGGCAATTTTTGACCCCAGAACGGGATATATGTAGGTTTGTACAGGAAGACTTCCTCTATCTAGTGGTATATATATTATCAAATTCTGTTGCGCATCGTGAGAGAAAATTAAAGGTAACCCCTCTCTTTTTACACTTTTTTAGAAATATTTTTTATTTTGAGTTAAATATTGTACATTATAGAGTAAAGTGTCCTCTACAAAACAAGACCACTTCCAGCTTTCCAAGACCTTCCGTTGAGGAGATACCAATTTTTTAAAGTTTGTTACTTTATTCTGAAAAAACCCTAGTTTTTTACTTTTGAAACTCTTTCCTCTTTCGTTCAGTACTTGATAAACTTTTGAAACAGTCAGTCTGGTAGAGTAAAGATTTTCCCACAAAATTAGATGTATCCTAACTTTTCACCATGTTTTCTGATAGAGTTATGATCATTTTGTTGGAAGTCTTTGAAAAAGTCACATTTGTGAGATACCGTCCAAAATGATCATAACCCTATCAGAAAACATGGTGAAGAGCTGGGAGACATCTCATTTTGTAGAGAAACCTTTACTTTATAAGCCTGATTGTTTCAAAAGTTTATCAACTACTGAATGGAAGAGAAAAACGTTTCGCAAGTAAAAAAGTAGGTTTTTTTCAGCGTAAAGTAACAAACTTTAAAAAATTTGTATCTCCTCAATGGAAGGCCTCGGAATGCTGGAAGCGGTCTTACTTTGTAGAGGACACTTTACTCTATAATGCAGAACATTTAACCCAAAAATAAAAAAAATTTCTAAAAGAGTCTAAAAAAAGAGGGATTACCTTTAATTTTCTCTCACGGTACGCAACGGAATTTGATAATATATACACCACTCGATAGAGGAAATCTTCCTCTATAAACCTACATATATCCCGTTTTGTGGTCAAAACATCATAGTTGCCTTTCATTGAAAATTTTCTTTCTAGGTTAATGGTGAGTATGTGATCTTTCTGACAAAAGTTTCACCTACGCTTTTCGTAACCATAGGTTTCTATGATTATTTTTTCATAATTATGATGCGCATTGAATGCAGATACTATAGTAGAAAGAGGAACCCTTAGTTCCTCACCCTCGCCCTTCTACGGATGTTTCAGTGGTGAGTGCTCGTTCTCAATGAATTTCCAGATCCACACAATAGTTAACATTCATACTTTTATTGGATAGTCTACAGTGGTCGAAGAGTATTTGCTGTGAGTTTGAAGTGGAACTAATGGAGCTTTTAAAAAATATGTAGCTTTTGTAATGAAATATTTCTGCTTATTAGCTTTTTCTGATAAATTGGTATTACCAAATGTATTTAACTACATCCACGTCCACCAGAATAGACATAAAAAGCAGACATCCAACCAAAATATTGATATTGCTTTGATACTGTAGTTGTTTTATGAACATATACTTGTATAATTGAATTTAATAAATTTTAAATAACAATGCGTTGCTTGAACACTATTATTTTGTTCAAGTAAATTTAACACACTACTAGATGATATTTTAAGATATGATGCAAAATTCTGTCGATCACGAGGATATACGTCTGATTTGACCAAATTATGTTCTAATTCAAAACTATTTTCAATTAAATAAGTTATATATTCAACATCAATCGAATTACTCATAAGCATTGTTGAATATTTTGATAATATTCAGTTCCTCAGTTTTGTAGCCAAATGCATTCCATCTTGCATATAAAAAGATAACTGCCTGTTTCTCGTAAAGAACGAAGTCCAAGATGATGGAATATCAATAGAAGATAGATCATTATGATTAGTTAATAAATCAATGTGAGGCAATTTAGCAAAAACACCAGTTGATAAACGCATTGACTTTAGATATTTTGCATCACAATCCGTAGAATAACCAACAGCGTTTATATTATTGAATTTAATCGAACAAATCAAAAGTCATCGACGTATTATATCTGTTGATGTCGCTTTATTATTGGTTTCACAAGTGGAAAGTAAAAATGGTCTTGATCTGATCATTGATGTTAGCGTAGTTGTTGATATTATTGGTTTAACCAATGAATATTTATTAGTATTGATTTATCTACTTCGTCGAACCACTGTTGTAATTGATAAAAATCATCTGTTTGAAAATAATTAATACAAAGTACACTATTATGAAATGGAGGAGAAAAATCGATAAAAGAATTTGTTTCATTATGATAACAAACTTTACTAATTATACCACTACAGTTTTCAGATATGTATACATAACTTGAATTAATTGGATTGGAATGTAATATTCATTAATCAAATCGGAATTCACATTCTTTCATTCCAGTATTATTATTTTTTTTCCGCTGTGGTTATCGATGGTAGTGAACCAGGTAAATTTATCTTTAAATATTCATACGTATTTTTCCCGGCTATTATAAATAAAGATGATGCAAATCGTAGAGTACATTCATTGTAATCATATTTATTTTTCGATTTACCGAAATTGTTTAAAATATTCTGAAGAAATAAATGCAGAAATGGTTCTTTATCACAGGGACGCCGCGAAGTACAAAAAACCGGGAGCGGTTCTTCCGATTTAGGAGTAAATCAAAAATTTTCAAAAATGAGGATAAATATCTGATTTGTCTAATAATACGTAAGTTTTGACCTGCAAAAACCGTCATGAACTCAAGTTTTTTCCTATAGTTTCTGCAATAAAACTAAGCATATTTTTCATTTTCTGAGCTACTTATTGTCTATTCTAACTCCCAGACTTAACTGTGAAAAACAACTAAATTATCTGAAATCTATTGCTGTGCTTTTGTGAATACGCTTTCCAGGTTTTAGTTGTTTCCATTAAGCCGCAGTTCATGTCTGAGACATAATAAAGATGAAAAATTATCTTTGATGATGATGTGGGAACGTGTAGTGTTTAGAATAAATAACCATGGAGAATAAGCAGACCTACAATCGGTCAGCAAAATTGTGACGGGGATCGGGCAGATATGTGTAGGTCGGTGTGGACAAGTGATTATCTTTTGGTGGCAAGGGAGCAGATTTTCCAAGAACTCTTTTAGTTTTTTGTTCAATATCAACAATTTTCATTGTATTCTCATCAATTATTGACAGCTAACTCATAAATTCTCGACAGACATGCTATCTTATCTTCTGGTTCGTCTTCCATATGATCATTATCATCGTATCTTTTCATTTTCAAGTATTATTTTGTTTTTTTGTTCATCTTTTTCACCAAATGATCAAACTACAGATGTAATAGATGAAAAGGAAGGAAAAAAAAAACAAAATAATACTTGATAAAAATAAAACGAAAACAAATGATGATAATGACCATATGAAAGAAGAGCCGGACGACATTGACGATTCCAATGATCCTGTTGATGAATTATTGAAAGACTGGTTGGTAAGTAAAGCATCATCTATTACTGATGTCAAGAAGAACGCACTATTTGACGCCTACCCGCATGAACCCTCAGTCAAAATATATTTCGCCGAGTTTTATAATGCATCGTTTTCCAAATTTACCATTAACAAAGCAAAATAAAACTATTAGTATGTTTCTTTTAAGGGTTCCGAGACCTCCCTCAGAAATGGTGATTTTTGGTCGAAAAATCGGTTTTGAGTTAAGCACATAGGCAGATAGCCTGAAGTGTCCACTTTCAGAATTTGTCTCGCTTGTGGTTACAAAGTCATTTTTCGCGGATTTTCAGCAAGTTTTCTAGGAGACTCGACAAACCGGATCTTCAGATAGTAGTTTTTTTCTGTATACTTATGCAACTAAAATTTTTCTAAACACAGATTTGTAGAGCAAATTTTTCTGATCAGACTAAAATCTCGTACAACTGTGTATGACCTTCCATCAGAGTTGCAACCGGTCTAAAAATAGAAGGCTCAAAAGTCAGTTTAGAGTGGTGGAAAACCGGCAACAGACTTGTCGATTTTAAAAAATTCTCTAGACTAGTTAAAAACGACAAAAGAACGGCTGATTTTGAAAATATTTTTAGACCGGTGAAAAAACGGCGGAAAACCATCCGATTTTCAAACATTTTCTAGACAGACAAGAGATTAGAAAAACTTTCTTTTTCACGGAAAAAAAAGTTTTTCTACTCTTTTCTAACCTAATACTTGGAAATGAAACGAAATGAAAAGATACGATGATAAGGATCATATGGAAGAAGAACCAGAAGACAAGATAGCCTGTCTGTCGAGAATTTATGAGTTAGCTGTTCATAATTGATGAGAATACAATAAAAATTGTTGATGTTGAACAAAAATTAGATAAACATAAACATAAAAGAATAAAACTTAATCAAGAATTCAAAAGAAACAAGGAAGAAATTCAGAATCAAAATAATAAATTAATATCTGAAATATGGAAAAAAGTCAATAATAATTCAGCTGTTAATTTAAAATTATTATCATTAAGTTTTACATTATAAATGATTAATGATAATCAGATATTAGAAATATTATATCGAAACTTTATACTTATTCTATTGTACAGTTAGTAGACAAAGTGTTCCTACGATGGAGACAAAAATCTTGTAACGTCATTATCTTCGAAAGGTTGCTATAAAATATATCACTTGCGATAATCATTACCATTCTAAAAGAGTTCTTGGAAAATCTGCTCCCTTGCCACCAAAAGATAATCACTTGTCCGCACCGATCTGCACATATCTGCCCAATCCCCGTCACAATTTTGCTGACCGATTGTAGGTCTGCTTATTCTTCATGTTTATTTATTCTAAACACTACACGTTCCCGCATCATCATCAAAGATAATCTTTCACCTTTATCTAACATCTAACTTCTTATACAACACCTGACTTTCATCACATCATAGCTAACAAATGACTATGGATCACTTCTAATTGATAGTCATCTAGAAAATACACAGAGTGACAATGAGCGGTCACAAAATTTCATCTACATCATAAATCTGCGTCGAATGCAGCAGATGAATAGTAAGAGAAAGTACTAGATTTGATATTTGCTTGAACAAAGCTGAAAATGACAACGATGAGCAAGAAGAAGATCAAATATTTGGTATCTAAACTTTTATTATTAGAATTTTATAAGAAGTTCATATGAAATTGATAAGAAACTGATAAGATTCTTATAAGATATTCATAAGAAAGTGACGAGACGGTTTGTTACTTTCTTATAAATATCTTATAAGTTTCTTATAAAAATCTTATCAGAACCAGTGAATTTCTTATCACTTCCTTGCAACATCTTATATAGGAATCTTGTAAGAATCTTATCAAAAACTTACGAAAAACTGATAAGTATTTTATATGTTTCTTGTGAGATCCTTATATAAGAATCGATATCTAGGAGAGTACATAAACAACGTTCATTTTTCTCGGTGAATATTATGACATAACGGCAAGTGAAAATCCGTCCACTCAGTTCACTGTTGGCTAGAAATAAAATGAATTATAGCAAGACTTTCACAGTTCCACAGTATCACAGTATAGTTTCATACTATCATAGTCTATATGTCATAATGTCACAGTAGTATAGTATGAGTGTAATATTTCATAGTTTCATATATGTCCTTATTTCACCGTACCATAGTATGTATTTCGTAGTTTGATAGTATCATAGCATGACCATCACAGTTCCGTAGTATCACAGTATAACTTTCATAGTATCATAGTATCATAGTTTGTATTTCATAGTTTCACACTATCAAAGTATGACTGTCCTGGTTTCACAGTATCAGAGTATGTATTTCATAGTTTCACAGTTTTAGATTAACAGTATGAAAGTTTGACTTGCATACTTTTACAGTTTCGATAGTAGCTTAGGGAGGCTTTCATAGTTTCATACTGTCATAGAATGTATTTCATATCTTCATGATATCATAGTATCACTATCCTAATTTCATAGTTTCATAGTGTCGTAGTATGTATTGCACAGTTCCATAGTATCATAGTATTTCATAGTGTGTAATTCATAGTGTGACAGTCTTACACTATCACTGTATGTATCTCATAGGCTCATAGTATCGTAGCATGACTTTCACAGATCCATAGTACAAGAGTATATTCATAGTATGACTTTCGTGATTTCATAGTTTCATAGTATGTATCTCATAGTTTCACAGTTTTACACTATTGTAGTATGTTTTTCGTAGTTCGCCGTATCATAGCATGACTTTCACAGTTACATACTATCATAATTTAACTTTCATAGCTTCATAGTATTATAGTATGACCATCATAATTTCATCGTTTAATAATATAGTGGTAAGTGTTTCATAATTTCATAGTATCATAACATTACTTTCATAATTTCATACTTTGATAGTATGACTTGCAAAATTTCACAGTATCATAGCATGAATTTCATAGTTTCATAGTATCATACTATGACCACCGTAATTTCATAGTTTAATAATATGGTGGTTTCACAGTTTCATCGTCATACTATGTGTTTCATAGTTTCATTCTATCACAGTATGACTAGAATAATTTCATAGTTTCATAGTATAATAGTATGTATTTCATAGTGTCACAGTCGTATACTATTAATGTATCTGTATCGTTGGCTCATAGGATCGTAGCATGACTTTCACAGATCCACAGTACCATGGTATAATCACAGTATAACTTTCATAATTTCGTACCTTCATAGTATGTATTTCATAGTTTCACAGCTTCACGGTATCATAGGATGATTTTCATACGTTCACACTTCCATTGTATCATTGTATGTATTTCGCAGTTTCATAGTGTCACAGTATGATTTTTATAATTTCACAGTTTTACACCATCATAGTGTCATAGTATGTATTTCATAGTTTGATAGTATCATCGCATGACATTCATAATTTCGTACTCTCATAGTTTCACAGTATCATAGTATGACTATAATAATTCCATTGTTATATAGTATGATACTATGACTTTCATAATTTCATTGTTTCATAGTATGTATCTCACAGCTTCATAGTATCATAGTATCACTATGATAATTTCATAGTTTCGTAGTATCATAGTATGTATTCCATAGTGTCACAGTTTTACACTATTGTAGTATGTATTTCGTAGCTTCACAGTATCATAGCATGACTTTCACAGCTCCATAGTTTTATGATATAACTTTCATAGTTTCATAGTAGCATAGTAGGTCTTGGTGGAAAATATCGAAAGGAAAAATGTCGAAAAGGAAAATGTCGATAAAAAAAGAGCAAAACGTCAAAGAGGAAAATGTAGAAGAGCAAAATGCAGAAAAGGCAAACGTCGAAAGCAGATAATGGAAGAAGGAAAATATCGAAAGGAGAACGCCGAAAAGTAGAAGATTTCTTTCTGTTCCTTGAAAATCACTGAATGAGATATGCGTATTATTATCACTACTATTGGTTCTCATCAGACATCCCCAACCTCGCAGTAATTATAGCCACTCGTCGAAAAAGTAAAGTATGATGAAGTTCAGTGTGGCTGCTACGATGAACGTCTCACCCTTACCCCACCGGGGACATCAGCTCCAAACCAATCAGGAAATACAGCAGCTTTCCAACAACGATTTGACACACTCAATGGATGATTTCTCAATAGAGAATTTAATGCAACACAGTTACTGGCTGGATTATCGTTCTTGATTTGGGTAAATGAAAAGTTAGTTCACGATCTATTGGCCTTATCATTTCTCTTCTACTCTCTGTCTCTATGTAGTTTAATAAAATATCTCTTTCAGTGATTTTCAAAGGAACAGAAAGAAATCTTCTACTTTTCGGCGTTTTCCTTTCGATATTTTCCTTCTTCCATTATCTGCTTTCGACGTTTGCCTTTTCTGCATTTTGCTCTTCTACCTTTTCCTCTTCGACGTTTTGCTCTTTTTTTATCGACATTTTTCCTTTCGACGTTTTCCGTCAAACCCGCACAGTACGACTACCCCCTCCCCCCCCATAATAGAAGCCTTCCCCATATTCAAAATCTCCTTTTTTTTCTGAAAATTTTTGTACGAAAGTCGTAATAGTAGCTCCCCCATAATACAAGCCCCCCTAAAAATTTTGAACGCTTGGACAGTTTAGAAGCCCCGGAGGCTTCTATTATGGGAGGAGTTTAACAATTTCCTAAATTTCATATAATAGCTTCGTAGTATAATATTATGTATTTCGTAGTTTCACAGTATCATTCTGTGACTTTCACAGCTTCATAGTATCATAATAAGACCATAATAATTCATAGTTTAATAATATAGTGGTAAGTATTTCACACTAGTATCACTATGGCAATTTCATGGTTCCATACTATCGTAGTCTATATGTCATAGTATGACTATAAATATTTTCATGGTTTCATCGTATCATTCTACGACTTTCATAATTTCATAGTATCATAGTATGACTTTGACAGTTTCATAGTACGATAGTTTCAGTCTTTCACAATATCGTAGTATGATAGTACTACTACCATAATTTCATAGTTTCATAGCCTCATGGTATGTATTTCATAGTTTCACAGTATCCTAGTGTGACTTTCACAACTTCATTGTATCATAGGATGCGTTTCATAGTTCCACAGTTTTACAGTATCATACTATGTATGTCAAAGTATCGCGGTTTCATAGTATCAGGTATTTCATAGTTGCATACTATCATAGCATGTATTTCGTGGTATCGCAGTATCATGGTATGACTATCATAATTCCGTAGTTTCATTATACGTTAGTATCATAGTATGTATTTCATTGTCTGATAGAATCATAGTATTACTTTGTTGTTTCATAGTTTCACATTTTCCGAGTATCATTGTATGACTATCATAGTTTCATAGTATCATAGTATGTATTCCGTGAATATCCAAACTTGCTATCTAGTAACGTTCCTGAGTTATTTAAAAAGCGATAGTGTTCATTCTTTCTTGAAATGCTATAAGCGGTGTCCCTGCACTCACCTATATATGTCGTTATATATCAAGGTTTTTTATATTTTTGCTTGATTTTAATAGTATAAAACAGGAACTGTACAACAAAATGTGTCTACTGTACATGTGGAAGAAAAACAATAACGAATAATCTTTAATCTGACGCACTAAATATATATATGATGAAAAAGGAAAATGAAAACAATCTAAATATGTATGGACGAAAACTTCTTGAATATAAAGAAAGAAAAGAATGTACTGAAACATCTCTAGATGTATATGATATAACAACGAAAAAGAAAAAAAGGAAAAATGGAAGGCCTCGATTTAGAACTATTCAAATGGTATGTGTAAGGCTCTAGCCTGTAACAATCCTTCCCACCAATAAAAGTGGGTGTCCTCACACACTAAACTGCTGAAAAATAGGAAGTCAGAAAGAAAATTTCCGCAAAACTGAAAATGTTCACCGGTAGTTGACTAAATAGAAAAATCTGACTGATTTTAACGATTAACGATGGAAGAAAAAACTACAAGAACATTGTCATAATGTTTGGACTGTTGTATATCACTTCGTCCTGATTATTGCGGATATAAACGATAATAGTGTGGTTCGGTAAACATATTATCATGTAACATTTGTTCCAATTGCGCTCGACTACGTTCATCTTTCATGCCAATGAATAGTATGTGTCCAACTACATTAAAATTTGACGTAACGAATGTTCATGGATCGAAGTATACGTTTAACTTTTGTGATACTAAATTTATGATAAATTGAACGAATTACTTCATGTTCATATCTGCGGGCTCGACGTCGACGGTTTTGTAGCTGATTATATTGTTTGTGTCTGTCTGGAGAACGACGTTTTTCTATTCGAACAGTTCGTTGAGGTGTTACTAGACGATTATGCATTGACGAAGGGTTATGCTGTGTAACAATATTTTGATCCTCTTCATCATCAGAAATAGGTTCGTATTGTAATGGCGACGGTTCGGTTAGTCCATCTTGTACATGGACTACTAACTCATCACGCACTTCGGCTGGTACGGGAGAATGAAAGAGCGGTTCATCTTGTACATGAACCGGTATCAATCCCATGTCTTCATCATCTGAAATATCTTCATATTGTAATTCTAATTTTAATGAGGCTAATGTTAATGATTGCAATGATGTTTCGTAATTTTCCACTTGTTCTGGTGTCCATCATATAAGACGGGAAACATTAATTTTGTTAATGATAAACAGTCATTTATTGCATATTGTGTTTGTAATTGACGTATTTCTCGTTCACCACCTAAACATCGAACACGATCCATCCCAACTAATGCTTGAGGTATACCTGTTGCCAAACGTTCATCAATACCACATCCCCAATTACTCATCGTGAGCTCCTTGTCTAACCATTGATTAAAGACGAGTTTAATTGCATGTTGTAGTGAATATTGATCATTTAGTTCATCTTTGCGTTCAGGTGCAGATGGATACCTGTCATTGAACCAATCTTTGAACTCTGATTGTATATTGTGTTTAACTGGTGGATTCGTGAGATTGAATAAATTAAATTATAAAAAATTTTGTAATTCACGAATTGGATCTCCCCATGCGTATAAAGAATTAGTCGGTGTGAGTATAAGAGAACACAAATGACGAATTTTAATAAATAGAGGAGATGATTTCGGTGGTAGATGTTGGGTTTCAATCAATATGATGATCGATGGTTGATTAACATGAACAAATTGTATCTGTATTAACGATGGTCGATGTGTTGTAACGTCATTTTCGGCGTCGATCGAAAAATGTTGAGTTGTGTGAGCATGGTCGATGAGGTTATCGAGTATGTCAATTGGCGTTGTACGATTAATGTAATAATATGAATACGTGTGTGGTGGTGCAGCAAATACGCGGTATAATGCACGGTATTGATTATTAGTTTGTACTTTCTTTGGGTTCCATCTAGCATTTCGACGGCGAACAATATCTAATGGTGTTCGATAATGTGACATCTGAAAGAAAAATTCATGAGGAGTAAATCCAGGAGTCGAGTAGAGCACAATAGTCAAGTCGACCCCTTCTACTGACAGAAGTATAACATGAAACGTCTACAAAGTTTCGTTTTATAATAAGACAGTAAATTAGTGATCAATGATTCAAATTTATTGCCAAACGGTTGCGTAACACATTGAACCAGCTTTATATTTCCACTGGCCCTGGAAAATGAGAAACTGATTAACAATTCGTATAAATTTAATAATAGTAACAGTAATGCTCGCGAAACATTACAATTGATAATCATACGAATCTGTGTGGAGAATGCAAGAGAGATTGTAATTGTTAGAATCAAGAGAATCAATAATGGACGGATTACTTAATAACCCCTCCAGGCAGTGAGAAGTGGAAAACTATCTCCCAGACTAGCATTGCTAAATTAAATAATTAATTCATCATGATTGCATTGATAATAACTGCATTCTCATACTGTTTGACTATGCGTTAAGGTATGTACGTTCGAACAATGGTATGATTGAATCGACGGTGACTTGTCTTACAAGTGACGTTTAACGGATATCAAATTTATTTCGCTTATCGAGTGTTTTTACAAGAACGAGAGCACCAATTTTGTAGCTAGGATTAGATCGATGCAAATCATAGCGTTGTTTATATTTTTGCTGTTGGTCGAGGATATTTCTTTTTGCATCACCAGTTAGACCCGATAGATATTCGTTTAATTTTTGTACGTGTTCAGGATCTTGGGGTAGGGAAACGAGAGGTGATTGTTGATCAAATGGGAGAACGGGTTTTCGACCGTACATCATTTCGAACGGTGTTTGTCCAATTGTTGCGTGGATACTGGTGTTATAACCGAAAGTTACGAATGGTAGCTGTTCGTCCCAGTTTGTACGACGTTCATTTGATAATGCAGCAATTTTTGCATCCATGGTAGCGTTGTATCGTTCGATTTGTCCGTTAGTCTGCGGATGATACGGTGTCGAATATAGATAAATAACACCCATTCGTTTAAATAATTCTTCCATCATTGCTGCTGTGAAATGACTCCCGTTATCGGTCAAAATGCACCGAGGTGTGCCATATTTTAAAATGACCTCCTTGAGAAAACGTGCTGCTGTTTCAGCTGTGCAATCGCGAACTGCTTTTGCAATGACAAACTTGGATAGGACATCGGTGAGAGAGATAATATATTTGTTACCGCGTTGCGAAATCGGTATAATGGGTCCGTGGAAGTCCATTGTTAGCAAGTGCCAAACGCCATCGGGTGGCTTTATTGGCTTCAAGGCTCCATTCGGTTTTCGGCGCGAATGATTATTTTGTAAGCAAGGCACACAGGATTTGATATGATTTTTGATATCTTTAATCATTGTGGGCCAAAAATACCGGTGTTGAATTTTCTTGGTGGTTTTATCGCAACCAAAATGTGCACCGTTGGCCGGTGTATCGTGATAAATTTTAATAATATCTGAGCGGATTCTGCTTTTTGGTACGTAAGGAACGGGTGGTAAAGGATTCTGGCGCCGCATCAATAAATCATTTTCGACAAAATATTTGGGATTGTGGTTTTTTGCTTTAATGTTTTGTATAATTTGCTGGACATCTAGGTCCTGCTGCTGTTGTTGTCTCAAATCATCCATATTGAACGGAATAATATGAAGATCGTCATGTGTGGTCGATGGTCGAGCGTCATTTTGATGGTCCCAGGATTGATCTAACGGTGTTTTATCATTCCTCTTTCCATCGATGGTATCGCAGGAACGATCTGATATCGCGTTCCTCTTATTATCATCTTGAAAACTTTGTTTTGCTTGAGCACGTGTCGTCACCGATCCGACGATCTGGTGA